TTTAGAGCCCTGAGGATGGTGTAAAATAACACCGAAACGTTGGCAATGATTTAAAATATAGTGTTCTTTTATTTATTGATCTTTATCCCACTAAAACCTTGACTTGGATAACTAATCAAGATCGCAAAATAGTGGAAACATAATATACAGCGTGTTTATTAAGTAGTTGTACAAACTTTTAAAGGGTAAATCTTTGATTAATTAAAAAAAAGGTTCATATGAACATGAGTCCGCAACGGTTTGGTTATTGAGATACAGGGCGTCTAAAAAAAATTTCTGTTTGGTATTTTGATTATATTTTTGTTAAATAACACGGCAATTTGACGAAATTCGGGGGAACAATTTTTATAACTTCAATGAAGATTTTTTGTTTCATAAGTGGCTGCTAAAAATTAAATTGGAAATATTTTGACAAAGAGAATTTTAATATAAAATATTGAAATCAGGGCCAAGAAACTTAATAAAAAAAGAAATTACAATTACACCCTGTATTGTTTTTACAAGTACAAAGTATTACATTTGCTGTTTTGATGTAAGGAAAAGAATGAATTGTAATATTTGGCTGGCAGGTTTAGAAAACTTGTTTAGATGTACTGATTTTCCCATCGAAAACGATCATCCGGGCAACTTTTTTTTTTAATTTTAAGAAAAACCGTTTCCCGTAGAAGTTGTAGGACATCAAATATTCGTTTTTAATTAAAAAAAAAAATAGACGTGCAGAAGTGTTAAAGGGTGCAATTTTCATTGAAAATAAAGACCGAGAATTAATTTAAAAGAAAATTAATTTGCATTGCTCTCGTCTGATAAAAAATTATACTGAAATAGAATACTAATTTTGTTTCTAAAGTATGGATGAAAAATGTAAAAATATAAAGTAAAAAGTAGGTTTAGGTCGCAGAAACAAAAAAAAATATGGAAAATCATATAGAATATATGTGTTCGGGTAGCTGGAAAGGAAATAAAAAATATGTCACAAAAAAGAAATCCTGATGAAAATTGTGCTTTTTAATCTTGAACGTAAAAACTTTAATAAACAAGTTAATTAATTAATTCTCGGTGAAAAAATGCAAATTATAAACTTTTTTTAATGTTTTTGAAGTATATACATTTTTCTGATTTGAACAATTTTTAAAACTATTGATGTTCGTTTATTGGTATTTTCTATGTGTAAAAGATTTTGTGAATTTTCATCTACACCATGGACATTCCAATTCTACAAGTCGTACCTGCATCAAGTTACCTTCAAATTTTCAAAAAATGCAGCGGACAAAAATAAAATTATAAAGGCGTTATTAAATACACTGCCACTTTATTGTCTTTCTACTTAGTGCTCTACACCTGTTTATTACGAGTTGCCTAACCTTAGTAATTTATAATATATCTACCTCCAGGGTAGGCCACCCGTCATACGCGTAAGTGTTGTGGCGTTGCCTACTCGGCATTTATAGCTGTATCGAAGCTTATTATGGGCGAAAATAACCAAGAGATGGCGCGCTGTATTCGTTTAATTCGACGAGCGATTTAACCGATACTACAATACCAATAAAAGCAGTATCCAGTGGCGTAGTCAGATTTAAATTTAAAAAAAAAAATGGCTAACCATTTTTATTTCAAATTTGAAATAAAATAAAAAATAGGCCCTTATAATAAAAATAAATTAAAATGTTACGTTACGTAATTGCTTAGGCAAAATTGTTTTCAGAAAAATAACCCCCGACTGATCCTTTATTTGATGCAATTTGGTTCATTTCATTAATTTTTTTTAAAGGTGCAAACACCCAAGTAATTAAAGCAAACTACAAAGCAAACACCGTCTTGAAAACGTACCGACTTAAAAAACATATAGAAGACACCAGAGGCATTATTTTCCAACAATTAATTTTGGTAGTCCTAACAGTAACTTCAATACGAAACTCGTTTCTTAAAGTCGAAATAAAAAACTTACAGAGATGATACTTTTGTTAGGAGGATACGGGAGGATCGGGAAAGTGATCTGGAAACAAATAAGTCTCAGGTGCTACAAATGACTTATTTATTACGAAATATAAACGAGAACCTCGAAACGAAACAATCACAGACAAACGCTAACGCCGCAGCAGTCCCATATTGTTCGCCACCTGCTTGCACTTAACGGTGAGTTCCTCGTGCACCAGACTGAAGCACATGGCCACCACCACCAGCCCGAGGAAGAGGTACAGGCAGCACGCGAACAGCTGCATCTGCGCCTGCAGCTCGGAGCTCTGGAGCAGCCGGTCGCCCACCCCTATGGTGGAGAGGGCCGTGAAGCAGAAGTAGATGGCGTCCAGGAAGCTCCAGCCGCTGGCCGAGGAGAAGGCGGCGGCGCCGGTGCACACATACGATACGAAGATGACTAGCACTAGGATGGCAGGCACTGACGGTGTTTGTGAGGGGGGCGGCGTGGGGGAATGACGACCCTCAGGAGGACGCCAGATCAGGGGGATCCTGGACGGCGTGTCGTGGGTGCAGCTGTAAAGGGAGACATTTGTAAAAACTGCACTATGCTTATGGACTGACTCTGTCCCAACCGAAATTGTTTTTAAATATATATTTTTAATAAAAAAAACATAAAGATAGCTGGTTACACACAAGCGTTTAATGTACAATTATATAATTTTGTCCTTATTACTTTGAAATAATTGACAATCAAAAATTTTGATTTGTTAGTCGAAAATAGAATTCAAATTTGTAGTCGTATTAGCCATGGCATCTACCAAAAAGAAAATACGACGCCCAACTTTTGTTTTTCTTGCACATTGTTTTATTCAGAGCATTTTTTTTCATGTGATATGATTCACTTTTTGGTTTTCATCAAGACACCAAATTATCCAATTTTACAAAGAGTGCTTTGAAAACAAAACATCTGATTATTATCTTAACATGAAATTTTGACACTTTTGACAGTTCGATAAAATTTTCAATGACAATGACGAAGAAATGATATTCTTCAAATGAAATAGGCGTTAAATTTGAAGCATATTTCTTCTTCATGTGAAAAATATGTTTTAGATTATTTAAACTTGACAGTGTTGATGCAAATTGAACTGAATTGTTAAAATTTTGTTTGAAGTAATAATTATATGTTTTGTTTTCAAAGCACTCTTTATGAATGTGAATAATTTTATATTTCTGTAAAAACAAAGAAATAAACCATATCACGTGATGATACCTACATCATGGCAATCAGATATTTCCATGGGTTTCTAAGAACAGTATAGTATAGAACAATCTCTTGGCTTTAAGAACACGATAGAAACAGAACATATTCTATAAATATCATGAAACAAATGAGTAAACAAATGTATAAGCAAAGCACTCTAGGGCGAATTTCTCTACAGTAATTTTACAAAACTAAAAGGAATACTAATCCAACTCAATATTACATACCAAATTATAATTATCTCTCTAATATTATCAAAATAACATTTCAAGAAAAATAGTACCTTATAAAAAATTCCGCCCTATCCGATTTTGATTAAAAAAAATTAAAATCAAAATTAGCGTTTCGTTGATAATTTCAAAATGAAAAAATAAATAAAATAATAATAAGCTCAAATTTAATTTCATCAAGTTCTTTATATCTTAAGCACATTAATTAACTACGACATGTACGTTCTAAATACGAATTAAAAAAATATGTTAAATTTACTTACATGTGTTCGTTTTCATCTGTGTCGTCAGTGTCGTCCAGATCAGAAGTCGATATCCCGACGATGGAACTGTTGAGAGTGTTCTTGACGGGGGTGCCGTGCGAATGCGTGGGGCACACGGCCATGGGGGGGTCGGCTAGCATTTGCCTAACGGGGCCTTGTCTGCAGCGGCCCCTCATGTGGCTTGACCGTACGGTGGCTAAGATGGCCCGCTTTGGCACTTCTTGGTGTTCGATGTACTGGTGGTTGGGCTTGCAACCGGCGGTGTGGTTGGGGGTGCTGTGGCTCGAGGCGATCTGGATCGAAGCTGTGTCTGTAGAAGAAGACATGAAGAGTTAATTATTTGTGGAAAGGTTAAATCGGATTTTAGGGCTACCTTCGTGTGTTTTGCAGAAGTGCTTTCCCGAAGGACTGGCAGGGGCCTTGTGGTATCCCACGGAAGGACTTTTGATCTTCGATTTGTGCTCGTGTTTGCAGCATAGCTTCGAATAGCCTTTTCTTGCCCCTGAGGCCAACACGCTGCCAAGGGCGGACAGGAGGATTAGCATTAGGGGAACCCCCACTATTGCGTAGATCATTGCTACCACCTTTCCCAAGGCTGTTTTTGGGGATAGCTTGCCATAACCTAAAAACAGAAACTTACTTATTTGTTTTACTCCATCCAATAATATAAACCAATTAGAAGATGGGGATAATCAAGGTGCCTAATTGAAACACGACAAATAAAACGAAACAAACAATATACTAATAAAAAAAACTAATATATTTACGTAAAAATAAAGATATATGAAAATAATGTTAAACAGAAAGACATACGATATACGTATTATAATTTAAATATGTATTGCGAAATACTTTTTTAAAAGAATTCTAGGAAGTAAAATTAAATAATCGAATCTGCCGTAAAGCTGCGCAGATATAAAAAATAACGACATTTTTCATTTGAAATTGAAAACTGTGAATTAACTTTATTTGGTGCAGAGCCAAACTACTTTTTTTTTAATAAATTAATTAATGCAATTGCACATATCTTCGCTACTGATTGTTTAGTGTTCATTAAGGCAACTTATCAAGGTATAAATTGTTAATTGGAATAAAGTCATTAGTTAGAATACGCAAAAAAATTGTTCATTTTTCAGTTCACTTCAATTTTTTCCAGACTCAATCAATCATAGAGATGTTTTATACAAAAATAGTACAAATTTAATTCTCACCCACTGTGGTGAGTAGAGTGACAGAATATAACAACGCCTCCCCGAAGCTCCAATGAGGCCCAATGGAGGAGGAAGACCCATCCATTTTTCCCGACTCCACTACGGCCCTTTCGAACCTCTTTAGTTGTTCTGTTACCAGCCTGGTCCAATTTTTCTCGTAAAGCACATTCAGTCGTTCTGTAAAACAAACACATCTAATTAAAAAAAGGGTATTTGTCATACAATTTTTAATTCCCGCATGAAGACCAACAGCACGCTTGGCCAAACTTTAATGGTGGGTACTATAAGATAAATTTTAAAAAAATTTCTAGAAAATGAGATTTTAGTTTTAATTAATCTACTAAGCATTTGCACACACACAGTACATGCCACATATTCGTTATTGTGATGTGTATAGCTTTTCATTAATTAAAAATGAAACAATTCACTAATTCAGGATATTTATTTTTAGAAAATTTTCATGTTTATTTGTTATTTAGAATGTCCTCCATTAAAGCTTGTCAAAGGATTTTAGTTATACCCTGTATAATTTATTTCTTTAACAATAACGGTTTTCTACAATCAAAGAAATTTCATGAAGAAATTAATGAATTTACGTGAATCCAATTTTTTATTGTATTAAGTGCAATTTTGAAAATTAATATTTTTTCCATGCCAATTTCTAAGTTAAGATCATTTCTTTCTGTTGTTGAGGATTTTGCTGTTTGTAAAAAATATTATAAATATTACAAACCCTTTCCCCAACAGGATTAGTTCAAAACAAACCCCGGCTTTCATTGTTTTTTTTTGACAGGCAGTCAGAGCATTAACAACGTTTGCCGAGTTTGGATTTAGTTTAGCGGTTGATTTCGGTAACTTTTTACTCAGCCTTAAGGGCATTACATCCATAACTGTCTGACATTTTCATTGCTTATTTACACACACACCATCACCTTCAAGCTAGCCGTACTTTTACGGTACCTGTACGCGTCAATTGGGAATACTTCGTGTTGAAGTTGAGAAGTTGAATTTCTTCGCGGCTCCCATTTAAGACCTTATAAACCCGAGAGCGATCGATGACGCCTAAGCAAAATTTAATTACCGTCAACAATCTATCACGGTGTTGACGGACGCGTATGCAAATCCAATTTAATGACAGCTTACTCATTGGCCTCTTGGGCCTATCTAACGTATACATAATGAATCCGGGACGACCATATTGGAAACGTTTCGACAGTATTTAGGCTTAGATTTACGGCCGGTATTCAAACAATCCAAACGCTAGTGCTAACAAAGGGCTTGTAGGGATGTAACTGATGGATCATTCGGTAAACAACTTGGCACGTGTTTTTTCAAAAAGTTAATATTTGTCGCGAAATATTTTAACGAGATTATAAGGAAGGGATCAAAATTTCCGGTAAAATTGGTCGTTCCAAAAAACAAAACTGTTTCCTTTAAGGAGGATCAGGTGCTACGAAAAAATGCAGCCAATTTCGTATCATTGAGATATATTATTTTTGCAATGCGAAACCCGGTTCTGTGAATTATTTTTCGATTTGTTTTTGTTTTTAATTAATGCCAAAGATTGGAATCAGGGAGACTAGATAAGGAGCACAAACTCATACGGGAAAATTGACAAAATTTGTCCAAGAAATGGCAGAAGTTGGGGTGGCGCTAGTGTTCCATATGTCCCAAATGAATGTAGCATAATAAATACGAGTGAAGTAAGCAAATATCAACCAATTTTATTTTATATTGAGTTTAGTAGATATATCGGGGAGGTATATTAACCTAAAAACTAGAAGTCAAGTCAATAATTATTACAATTTGTTTTTATAAATGGTAAATAAAAAGTTTCGAAAATAATTTAAATATGGTAATAGTATGTGAAGTGAATGACTGTCAACAGATTTAAAATAAAACAGTACGTTTGTGATCTGCATTTTCAATCTAATGATGTCCAGCAGTTCTATATTACAACTTGACCGAATAGTGGGTTAATATTATGGCAAAAGGTCGAATAATTCGGAAGTTGGAAGCAGCTTCTTTGATTCTTAATACGGTAGAGAAATTTTTAAATAGAAAGATTTCATAAGTGAAAATATTGTATAATTGAATGATGCATTGTTTCTTTATATATTTTGCAGCAGCATCAACAGCAAGAGCATCCGCTACACCAGCAACAACAGGTGCAGCAGCTACAACAAGAGCAACAGTTACAACAACAACAACAACAACAACAACAACAACAACAACAACAACAAGAACAGCAAGTAAATCAAGAGCAATTAAGTTACGATGAGATTATACTAGAAAGTGAGCATCCTGTCCTGTATAATCTAATAAAAGAAATGTTCTGTTGACGTGTGATGAGGTCTCGACAAAGCAACGATGAATATGTTCACATAATATTAACAACAGCAACAAAGTATACTTTATTTATTTCTACATATTCTTGTAATTTATATTACGTGCATAAATAATTAAATTGGTATCTTTCATATAATTCTTGCTGGTGACATCGTTATCATTACTGAATTGAATAAATCATTTCCAATTAGTTGCTGTCTCTTTCCTGTTAGTAAAAAAACTGATTGAAATTCAGATATCATATAAAATTTAAAGAGAGGATACGTGTAGTAATCGATGCTGATCGATCTGTATTGGTAATTGACTACTTTTACTAAATATTTAAACATGGAAATCAATTGCTTCATGAACAAAATGAAATTTTAAGAAGATAGACAAGTATTACTTATTTTTAAGAAGAGTTCCTGTTTTATTTGCAATATATATTTACTTTGTTACTTGTTTGTTATGAATAAATATTTTATTTTAATTAGGCACAAATAATTTCGATTTTTTTATTCAATTAATAAAACATTGAAATCTTTGGTAGATAAACATTTTATTTTTACAAAATTTTGAGAGACATCTCATTCTGACCTTCAAAAGAAACAGTTCCAAATCTCTTCTAAAGAAGAGAGCGATATAACTCTCGAAGCATTGAGAAGCCAAAACCGACAACATGGCAATCAGCTTAGAAATTGTCCAACCATAATTTATCGACTTTCCATAGTCAGTTTTCAGTTACACTAATATAGTATATTATTGGTTATTCAAAAAAAATATGGATTGTGATATACCCTATCTTATATGAATTGCTTTCCCATCAATTATTCCTATAACCTCTGGAAATTCATATTGGGCAAAATATTGTTCGATTACAACTGCCTAATTATCTCGGCCATTCTATTCTATAATTTGTGGAGACAAGTTACTTAGCAAGTATGTAACTTTTTTGGTTGTTGTAGAGCTTAAGGCAATGCAAAATTTACCAGAATCATGGGTGAAATAATTAGAAATGGCAAATTTTTCTTCAATTCTGTTAGCTACTTCCCTGATGCTAACACGTAAATGTTAAAAAAACTTGGCCACTATATTCAGGTACAGTAATTTCAAAGTAGTTCTTATTTTTTACTATTTCTGTTTCTTAGAGTAAATCTATTTCATCATCACTCAAGCTGGACAATGCGTCTAATAAGTCATCTGAATCACTGGACTTAAAATCGGACATCTGTAATATTTTAAAAAGTTTATTGAAAACGCCGAGTTTTTTTATATTCTATTTTTTATTACCACAAGTAAAAATTCTATATTAATAATACAAGAATTAGGTACTATTTTTTTAAAGGGAACTTCCTGTATAAAATGTGACTATTTTTTACTAACATTAAACTAAAATCTTTAACAAAGTAATTATCAAAAACATAAACCTTACTTATAGGTTAATATTAACAAGATCACGTCATAAATTCCTTGAAAACTAGTTTCTTTCTATGAACACCAAATTCTTCTCATAAAGCTAATATTTTTTACTATCTATTTAGTTTAATTACAGTCCGGAATGACATATTTTCGTGATTTATATAATTCAAAGTAGCTTACATTATTTATTTTAAAATTTTTAACACATCACAAAAATGACATGATTGATTTATAATTCAAACTGCCGCTTTTTTATCTCCCCTTTCTACCTATGGGACATATGGAACACTAGCGCCCTCTTATTTTTGTAAGATTTTTGTTTACATGGAGTTCGGGCTCCTTGTATAGTCTCCATGATTGGAATGTTTAACTTAGGTTCTTATAGGAAATGTTATGATGCATACCCTTAAAATCGAATTATGGGTGAAAAAATGCAAATGTTAAGACGAAAAAAATATAAACATTTACCTAAACGTTAGTTAAAAGATGAAAGAAAGAAAAAAAGTAGGTTACCACACATTTCACAGTGAAATAAATTATTAAACACAAGAAGTTCTGACTTGTCGTTCACCAAGTAATAAACGCTAAGATATAACGGCAACAGCGCAATAGAGTACGAAGAAGCATATGTGACGGGAAATTTAAATAAACGTTTCGATACACAACTCGGTCATTATAAATGGAATACATTCAACTTGTGTTTATTTGGAATAATAAAATAAAATGGGAAATTTTCAAAAGAAGTATGTTTTTTCAAATCTTGTTTTATTTATAAAGCACGATAACCTTTCAATACAAGAAATAAAAAATATTTTTGGCTGCAAATAACAATCGTATCTCAGTATAATAAAAAATGTTTTATACTTTCATAAATACAATAATAGCTTTAAATCCTTGTCTTATAAGGAATATTTGTATTCACAGAAGTGCATCATAGTAGTATGCTACTTATGCATGTAACTAAATCATATTTAAACTTTTCCAAGCGAATCACTTCGTGATCACAGTTTGTAGATAATCTTAAATACGTGAAAGTTCTTTGTAAATAGACAAGTGCATGCTTTGTGCCATGTACTCCATGTCGATTAGTTGATGCCCTCGAACGGTGTACGGAGGTTCTGGTTCCACAATCTTCTCTTCAACATCTTTTTTCTTGCTTTTGCTATTTTGTGTTCTGATTTTCAAGCTCTCACACTTTCTTTTGGTCCCTTTATTTATAACTGGGGCAAAGTAGCCCATAAAATAGTTATTTCCATACCAATAACCCTGGTGTCGAAGAATATTGTTTGACTTAATTTGATACGATTTTTTTTAAACAATATTTGAGGAATACCTTTTAAATAGTAGAGTAATAAAAGCAAATGATAATATTATTATATTAAAAAGTCTAGAAATTATTTTAATAAAAAAATATTCAGACCATTTCCGCATTTCTTTAAGAAGCTGATAAAGATTTTGAATATGTTTAGGATCAAGAGGTTTCTAATCATTTTTAAGGATTGCTTAATTGTTTTGCTAATTTTTCCCATTTTTGTTTTCAGAAATTGTTAAATTTCTAAATATAAGCATACTATTCAATCATAGTAAGAAAACAAAAACAAAAGCAAATCAGCTAGAATGTGGGAACATAATACGGCAGAATCACATGTATTTAGTCGGTTTTAAACACATCACATTCCGAACCGAACATATATCATACCGACCGACGTTCATTCGAATCTTCGTAACGTTAATTTTTTTGCATCAAAATCCATTTTACAGCGAACGTGACATTTTCAAATAAGCGTTGTCATGTATAAATTCAACAACTACATACCGACAAAGCCCCCGAAAAAAGCTTTGCCGGATACTTTTGTCCCCGTGTTATTGAAACAATTCCGTGTCACCTGATCATTCCCAGTACCCCTATGCCGAAAATATGCTCTGCCCGATACGAAAAGTGTTTAATCTGGAACCAGTTGGGGTTAAATTTTATTGAGCGTAAAGAGACGGCCAAAGAATGAATAAATAAATAAATAAAAATAGAAAGGTCATATTTATTTAAATTGATACCAAATGGACCCGATAGAGTTAATACATGTTATTTGTTGAAAATATGTAATAGTAGAGATCTTAATTAATTGTAACACGTCTTTGTGATAGCTCTGCGGTTTTCATTTGTAACATGATGTTTGTAATAAAGAAAAATGCGTCTATTGTCTTTGTTATACTCGTGGTTCTTTTTCGACTCTCCGAATTTTGTTGTGATAGAGAAATGAATAATGTGGTAAGACAGATTTATTTGTGAATTCGAAAACAGATCTTTTGAGTTAAATGTATTCGATATGGCTTTGTATAGTTGTAACATAGATTTTTTAAGGCACTGGTTTTTAGAAGTTATGCCATTACGGATTATACTAACGTTTTATATTTTTTATTATTTGTTAGAGAGGTGATATCAAGTTTTTCCGAGTTGACGGGCTCTGTAGACGTAGCCCAGAACGTTTATAATATAACGATAAGAAATGTATGTAATCTATTTCAAATCAAGTCCAGACTGTGGACGCCGGTTGTAACAAAAATCTCACCAGAGTGGACATATCCCTTAAGGAAGGTATGTTTGTCTTTGTATAAAAAAAATACCAGAACTGTAGAGCTATCTTCTTCTGATTTCAGGGACATTATATACTAACCGAAGGGCGTTTCGATATAACCCTTCTTGTTGTTGCACGTACAAAGTTGGTACTGGAAAATTCAGGTAGAATACATTGACAGAAGAGGGAAGGTGCCATTTTGCCTCGATTTATATTTTACAATGATACCCAAAAATGACTAATATTATTTTACTGTCGTTAATGTGAGATACGAAATTATTAGAGTAATTTTAAAAAGAGTAATGCTTTACTGCGAGTAAAACGATTAAAGCCGTAATACAGTTTCCAAAACGAAATATTTTGTGAGCTCTCTGGCATTTCGCGAAAGCAAATTTTCAGGGTTTGTATGTAACTGGGCAAAATTACGAATATGAAATTGCGTGCAGGTATTTTGGGTCCGTAATTTTCATCAAATTATCATTACCAAGGGCGGGTTTGTGTTTTTTTTATAAAGCAAAGTCCGGTTCTTTACTCACAGGAGATTTGAGGCTAAAAACAAGCTAGAATTCATCAACATATCCATAATATTACGAATGTTCATGTCTGATAGAAGTCCAATAAGGAACAGGGAATAGCCGTGTTCACAAACATGGAACAAATTTGATTCGGTCTAATGTAATAAATACCATACCGTAAGGGATGAAAGGGAATAGTATAAAACAAAGGCGGGGGCTGCATTATACGACAACACACTAACTCGATGGGGTTTCTCATCTCTTATTGCCGAACAAGCGGTAAAACAATAACATATAACGTTACGATAAAGAATGGAACGCGAAATTGGGGAGAGAACAATATAAACCGTATACAACACCCGTTAGGTGTGTTGTTTTCCAATAAAGGACTTTCATTCACTATATACGTACATAAGTCGAAAAAATATTGCAAAAATTATATAAAATGTGAAATTTGTATATTTTTTAATGGAATATTAAAATATTAACTATCGAATCAGTACAAAATGTTAGTGCAGCAAAACGATTTCTTATAGTTTTGAAAACTCGAAATTTCACACCCCACTTTCAAGGCCTATAACTTCTCAGGCCAGGGGTGCAGTTTAGTATAAAAGTATGTCGCGTTAAATCACCATATTTTTGCTCTGTGTCGATTCTTATGCGAAACACCCTATATATGCTTCTTTATCTTTAATAAACTGAAAATTTATAATTAAGGACGTAGTAAAATAATTAGAGCAGCGGATCACAATGCTTGCGTTAGGTTAGGTTACAATAAACAACTTACAAAGCACGGTGTGACGTCACGGTTATCCTACGGGAAAGGTATTGATGTAAAAATTTAAGAATAGTTTTACTTTGGTTCAAATTTAATACATCGTTCTGAATTAAACTAAATACCTACTTAACCCAAAAAGAAAGTTTTCGACAAGCCGACAATGACTCTATATAATCATCCTCGTTGGACGCAATCTGAAATATACGGCACCTCTTATTTCTTTTATAATTCCTTTTCTTTCCGTTCTTCCCTTATGACTCTTATGGGGGAAGGTTTATATATCATTTTGCTTGTTTCGCAGTACAAACAAACGGTCACAGGGCAAGACAAGGACATTTATCTGCTTTAACCTATCTTGAGTTTTAATTATCGACCATTTCGATATGATAAAAGCGTAATTTCAGTTTACCGTTCCGACCAGTGTTATGGTCCCGAAAGGCTAGGGCGCAGCACAATTCAATTTAAAATTTATTGGGGCGATAAATGATTTATACAAAATTTATAATGGCAAAACAATGTTAACTAAACAACAGTGTGATCATTTCCCAACAATTGAATTTAATTTGAAGTTAAGCCTTTGTGTGTTAAACACAGCATTTATATATAAATTAAATGCATTGTTTTATGTAATATTTTGTGACACAATTCGATTACCGCATTTACAAAAAGTCATAAACAACGGCTAGTGGCGAATTGTTTTTGGCAGGATTGTGATTTAAAAACGAATTTAAATAAATTATATCTATAAATTTTTCTCATTAAATAAAAGACAATCCTAAGGTTTTTGAAGAAAACGTTCCGGAAATAAATTGGACCCAGTGTGAGTAGGAACGTAAAAATAATGCAAATACGCGAGAAAAAATGAGCACACTGCAGGCTATATTAAATTTTTTTAGCTTTTTCATTTTCTACGGCAGAAATTGGGGTCAGCAGTGGCACATCTTGTGTTTTTTCTACGTAAAATATGCATACAACCCTCCCTTTGTGCGAAAGGAAAGAAATAATAGGAAATTTATTAAAAATACGGGGAGCTCTGGAGCATCTGGTTCTTAATATTCTCGGTTTATGAGTACTGGAACGAAATTATGGAATATCGGGCGTCATTATGAAATATAAAATATTGTATTACTTGGCGCTATGGAATGATGAAGAAATGTAGGTAAATATTATCTAGAGAGAAATTAAATAATTGTAATTTTAAAAGGGAACATTATACCCAAAAAGCCAAAATAAAAACTTATTGGATAATTTATATAAAAGTTCTAAAATAGTGAAAATTTAAGAATATATATTGTCCTCGGGATTCGATCTAGATCTATGGAAACTAAAATAAATGACAGACTTGACATATAAATGTTTCCTTTATTAATATACGACATAAAAATATTAAATTAATGAATAATGAAGGGAAAAAATCGAGGGGCGATCCGCTAAGGAAAAAACGTACGAATATTACAAAATTTCTGAAATCTCTTGTAATGTATCTGCAGATTTCAATATCGATTAAAAAAAAATTACAAATTTCATATAAATAATCAAGATTACAATATCTTTCAACCGATTACAAAACATTTCAGGAGATTTCAGAGTTATTTTAGTAGATTTCAATGATTATTTAAGATTTCAATAGGATTATTCGAAATTAAAAGAAGATTTCAAAATTTCTTAATAATATTTCAAGGAATACGGGAAGATTACAATAAGTTTTGAATGTCCATTTGAACAAAAATAATTGAATTAACTTCAACTGTCATTCATTTCATTCATTAACAGTAGTGCTTTGATTAAGAATTTCCAGTATCATTTTTACGCAAAAATTGTAACATTCTGATTAAGTTTTTGTTCGAATGAACGTTAAAAACTTTTTGTCATGACAAAAATGATAACGCCATTTTGAAAGTAGGTAAGTATATATTTTTATTGAAAGATAAAAATATAATAATCCAATAAACTAATAAAAATAAAAAAATAGAAGTAACATAAAATAAACATTTTCCCAAAAAATAAATAATAAGAAATATTTTAAGCTTTTATTAACACTTGTATTTAATACTTTACCTGTATACAGTGTATTTAAAAAAGACGCGGCAATATTTAAGGGGGCGATTGCCCAGATCATTTTATAAAAAAAAGTTCCTATAAACATACGTCCGCAAACGCTTCGTTACCGATCTACAGAATGTTGAAATTTCATTAAAAAAACAGTAAAAATTAAATTTCTCCAAAACCTCTTGATATTATAATGAAATTTTAGGCCTGTCAATAGCTATGGCAGACGCGTACTTTGCAATACAAAACGATTTTTTAGTCTTACCAGTGACTAGCTATTTTTAATGAAAAAAATAGGACCCCGCTGGTTTTTCTAAAAATATAATTTTTTAATTCCTTGTTCAATTATGAAGAAGAAAGCTTTCCTCAGATTATACGCACCGTACGTCACACCGTTATTGAGTAAAAAAATAAAAAACATTTTATTGCGCACCTAAACCCAATGTTGTTTTAATTGAGAAATTTAAATTATTGAACAAAGAAATTCAAATTATCAAATTTGATTGATTTTTGAAATGTGGTACATACTGTTGTTTGTAGTAGGTAATAATAAGGGGCTGCGTTTTAGAGAAATTTAATTTTTACTGTTTTTTAATGAAATTTCACATTCTGTAGATCGGTAACGAAGCGTTTGCGGACCTATGTTTATAGGACTTTTTTTATAAACTGACCTGAGCAATCACTCCCTTAAATATTGCCGCGTCTTTTTTAAACACACTGTATACAAGTAAAGTATTAAATGCAAGTATTAATAAAAGCTTAATATATTTTTTATTTATTAGTTTTTGGGAAAATACTTACCTACTTTCAAAATAGCATTATCATTTTTGTCATGACAAAATGTTTTTAACGTTCATTCGAACAAAAAACTTAATCAGAATGTTACAATTTTTGCCCAAAAAATGCCTGATACTGGAAATTCTTAATCAAAGTACTACTGTTAATGAATGAAATGAATGACATTTGAAGTTAATTCAATTATTTTTGTTCAAATGGACATTCAAAACTTATTGTAATCTTCCCGTATTCCTTGAAACCATATTAAGAAATTTTGAAATCTTCTTTTAATTGCTAATAATCCTATTGAAATCTTAAATAATCATTGAAATCTACTAAAATAACTCTGAAATCTCCTGAAATGTTTTGTAATCGGTTGAAAGATATTGTAATCTTGATTATTTATATGAAATTTGTAATATTTATTGAATTGATATTGAAATCTGCAGATACATTACAAGAGATTTCAGAAATTTTGTAATCTTCGACTGTTTTTTCCTTGGCGGATTGCCCTTCGGAACAGACCAATCGCACCATATAGGTTTCTGTGGCATTCTTTGGAAAATGAGGTAGGGGGGGGGGCGTTGTACAACGACTACATCGACGAAATTCATTAGCTGATTATATAGATTACAGCGAGGATTACAGATAAGATTACGTAGATTACAGATAGATTACATAGATTACAGATAAGATTACGTAGATTACATAAAGATTCCAGGGCAAACGTACGAAGATTACATCAGCGGATCGCCCCTCGGAAAAATTATACAAAATTAAATAAAGACCTAACCAAATCAACAAAAAATAGAATTTATAGAATATTATATAAATATTATGTACCTACTACACATTTTCAACTAAATAATGAATTTTATCAACACGATTTTGGAATAGCAATAAGGTCTTCATTAGCAACTGCTTTAAATAATACTTTTCTGTTTTTATTTTAAAGAAAACTAAATGAAAAATCCACATTTTCGTGGATATATATATTTTTGCAGTTTCGTCTTTTACCATTGAAGAATTAAACCAACAATTAAGTCTGCTTTTGAAATATAAAACAATGATACATTACCCTTTTTGTTTAATTATGGCAATTATTTAGAATAAAGAAAACCAACTCATCATACTGACAAATATCTAAATTTATTTTGAATCAACATATTGATAAGTATAAAGAAAGATGTAATTAAATGTTTGTCGATCTGATTTCTTCGAAAGATGAAATTTTTAATACTGAATTGAAATTCAATAAAAATGTACTAATAAACAGTTAACAACATTAGGGACGTTTGTCTCAAAGGCGAGTCCAAATAATTACTATTTTCAAAATTCAAAAAAATGCGTTTATAGCATACTTTGTGAATAGGCGAGCACAAACATTAAAAAATGGGAATTTGATAAATCAAGTCACATTTGGGAAAACAGTAATAGAATTCATTGGGGCATGGACAACAGGTTAATTTAATTTTATTTTTTAAGCGAAATATAAATTTAGTTTTGCAGTTATTGATTAATTTCCGACATAAATCTTGTATCTCTGCTCATTTGCAGCTAGCAATATTAACATAATTTTAATGACTGAATATTGAAAACCTCGAAAAACTCACAACGCAGTTTCGTATAAATCAGTAGGTAATCATCGAACAATCCTTAATCATGGTCTGTAGGGATAAATAAAACAGAACTAGGAAGCCGTTACAGCAAATGCAGCAGAAACTTAACGTGATGTCACCGTTACATAAACCGATTCAGATTACAAACATGGCACTTATAAAGCTTCTTATAGCTGCAGAAGTTGCCAGTGTAGCCGTTAATTCTGATTTATGCTCACCAGAGGTGAGTTTCAGTCGTATTCTCGCCAGAGGTAAATGTAGGTTATGTAAGCAAACGGAATTAAATAAGACGTTATCTTTGGGAATACACAACCGGATATAGTGCTTCGTGTACGTAACAGCCCCAAAGTGATCATAGAACTGCTGGCTCTGCAGATATAATTTCAGTGTAGGTACTCTCTTTGAGGAAAAAACTATCCCATTTTATTGGAACTATGAATACTTGAAAGTTACCTAGTTTGTACATATCGTCGTATAAACTTTATTTATAATTTCATAGAGGTATTTTTTGGTTCAGATAAGCTTAGGCACTACGTAACAATTAAATATATTGGCTTATTTCAACGTTGCTTTTGATTAACCAGTCCAAAGACCTCAGACCTTTCTGACGTCGTCGTTGAGCCAGTCCACCGTTCATTATCCGAACCCTAAAAAAAACCGATACTGACCAAGATAGCGATAACCCAAAATTGGCCGTGTTCGATTTCAACAAGTGTTCTGCAAACAATGGAAGAAACATAAATAGGTGTGTGGAGGCTTACTATTGACTAAGCTTTTATGGAGCTAGGCTAAATAAATCTTAAGATTAATCACTACTTTTATTTACTTATCATGAGAAAACCATAGCACATAATGTATTATTTTGTTGATTACGCTTTTCTGGAGCTAGGCAAAATAAATCATATTCGTAAGAGTAATTTTATTTTACCTAACCTAAGAAAATTACAACATATAGGATAGACATAATCTTTTTCAGATACAATATTAACGGTCAATGTCGGCAGTTAAGCAGAAATGTTGAGTCTTGGTGACCAAGTCTATGAAATAAACTTTAATTTTCCAATATAGTCTTGTTATCGGAAACATATTATACACGGTTAAATCGGTGGTGAAATTTGTTAATTTATATATTCCCTTGAAAAGAAATAGTTTGCATTAACGAGACATTAGAGAAAAATGTCAACCACACCCAAAATTATATTTTACTTATTTTAACTATGTATTTAGGTATTGAAAAACTAGTACCTTCAAAATGGGACAAGGGACTTTCGGCTCAAATCTATCAAACAAATATTTGTGTGAAGGAGATAGTTGAACAAATTTGCAGAAATCTTTCTTTTCCACGATACGGAATATTTCGCAGTTGTCCGGGCTTTCTCTTGAAAAGCATTTATACACTTCACATTTTGCGGTCTAAAAATATACAACAGATAAAAAATTGGAACTTACATCGAAATTAAGATCTTATTTTGTCCGTATTTAATTAATAAATGATAATAGTGCAACAACTCTCTTTTTTTACAATTGTCTACAAAGGATTACCAGAGGCGAATGTATATCTTCTAGAACAGTGATGGTAGCATTTACAGTAAACTTATTTTCCACAACGGTCCAGTGTTCTATGGTTACAAAAGAGTGTTCTTTCTTGCCACACGAGAAGCCAGTGAACAGTTTTATATCTAATTCGGAAAATATGCCCTAAAATAAAAGGTCTGTTACAATTGTTTAGTGACGGTGTTTGAAAACCTAAGTCATTTGTACATTCTTACCCTTTTCCGTGAGCTTACGAAGAAAGATAGTAAAGAGGATATTAACAACAAATACAGTAAAGTACGCATGTTCGATATTAACCAACTGTGACTTATGCTTACAGATTACTCTTTAAAGTAGGTTAGCTATATACGAGTATGAAACATATACCTACTATAATTTTCCTTATCCGATCACTACACACAACATTACCTTGAAAAATTATAGCCATTGATATATTATTAGGGAATTAAACAGATAGTGTGACGATAATAAAGTTAATATAGGAGCAAAACTAAACACTATTAAAGAGAAGTGCATCCGGATTGTAACTTATTATTTAAGAACTATCTGGGAAGCGAGAACTAGGGCAAACTTTTCATCCAGAAAAAATCCCAGTATGATAGAAATGTTTTTCTTAATAATTTAATTATTTTAAATTAGAAGTCAATTTTATGGAAGAGAATGTATCTCATTTGTCTTGAAAACGAATTTGGTAGCTTATATTTTATGGGGAATTTAATCCTAAAACTGTTCTTACACTTGTTAATTTTCAAAAAATTTTGTCGTTTTCAACAAAAACACGAATAACTAATAATACGTATTGTAGCTGCTTTATTTAAAATCATTGAAAATTCAAAAGTTGGCTACGAATTTAAACGTCAAACTTGATGATCAGGAAAAAGAAGAATTTAATAGAAAAACAATTCTTATTGTTCAACACTTCTGTAGTTTCCTTCACAGAAACCTAGCTAACACCTGTTCGCTAAATGAAAACTTCTCGGCCATTTTCAAAACACTCGGCAAACAATTATTCAAATTAAATGACTTTTTTCTTGATCGTCAAGTTTCATAGCCAACTTTTGAATGTTCGATTATTTTAAATAGCACAGCTACAATACCTATTATTCGTGTTTTTGTTGAAGACAACAGTTTTTTTAAAACTAACAAGAATAAGAAAATATTTAGCATTAAATTCCCCATAAAATAAAGTAACTATTTTTTATGTCTGACACATTTTAATAGTGCATCATCCCTTATCAACCGTTTAAAATGCTTCACTTGAACTTCACTTACTGTCGATTAATGCTCTTGGTACACNTAGTTTTGGGTAGACTGGAAAGCAATAATTATTATTAAAAAAATTACGAATCGAACAAGTACGAGTGAAAGGCTGAGTAACCGAACCAGAAGTTTTCTCAACTCAAAATAAGAGCAGTAACACATAGATACACAGTATATATTTTTATAAAACTTGATACTATAGACAACATATTTTTACTTCGAATATTTTCTAAATTAATAATAATTATGATAAAATAAAATGTACTCTGTTAATTCTGAGGTTAATTCACCAAATCACTTTTTATTGTTCACGCGGCACAAGGCTTTCCTCAAATGAAATAATAGGAGTCTGCAAGTCTGTACGCAATTACGCAATACGCATGATCTTAAAAGTAATTATAATTATTAGAAAAAGTAATTGTAATTGGAAAAAGTATTTTTACTTATAGAAGTAATTTGTAATTCGATAGTTCAAATAATATAATTACAAATTACAATTCCTATAACAATTTTGCTGCAATTACAATTCCAAATTACTTTAATAAAAAAAAGTACTTAAATACAATTACAATTACAGGAAAAAAAGGGAATTGTAATTGCTAATTACTTTTTCACCAGGAATTACCCAGCTCTGGTAGCTGCTATTTAAAATTATCTCGGGGATGCAGCTTAGTATAAAGGTAAGTTACGTTAAATCACCATATTTTGGGCTCCCGTGCATGCCCCTGCTCCGTGTCGGAAACACCCTGTGTATTTATTTACATGGAGAGCTCAGAACTCAGAAGCCAATCAGCGTAAGTAACTTTTCAAATTGAGTTACATATTGAAGGTTTCTTCTTAAAGTTGAAATGTATGAAATGTTATATCTCAATAAAAATAATTATTAGTATCTTTACGGGAATTTTTATTTTATTACAAGTTTTACAAATAGCCAATTTTCTCATTTTCTATATTATTCAGCGACTTAACTGACTGGCTTTTGAGCCCTCCATATATAACTGCAGTTCTGCCATTATTTTGTTTTATAAATCCTTTGTCTCCCACTGTCCACAGTTAAGCGGTGTACCGCTACTTAGAAATCACCCTGTATATTATACGAGAAATTGAATTACACGGCACAAACGTGTCCGTGCCTGACTTCATGAGGCCAGACAGAAAATTATGAATGGGTAGTTTTATGTCACCATTAATTTGTTATAACGGCACGAAGGAACTTAACTACCTACAATTCATTTTAGCGCCCTAATGGGGATGTAAATAATGGCGGGGTTAAAGTAATGAAGAAATATTCCCGAACCGGCTCCCTCGCATTACGCAATTAGGACAAAAAACTGCCATTATTCGAACGAATAATTTAAATACGTTCTAGCGTGCACTTCCTTAACGACCACCAATTTATTATAAGCAATACGTTGTTATAATTAGCGGGTAATGAGTGGAATGAACATTTTTTGTACGTATTTCTGTATCTGCCTTCAAAAGTTTAAGACAAATTTAGAATAACACCAGGGCCAAAACGGTGCAAGGAATTCCTGTTTTAGGTATCACGCACGTGTGTATGTAAGTTCTACTCGTAATTGTAGTTTGCATGTTATGTTATTACTTTAAACTTTCTTTCAACAGCTTTTCAAATTATATCAAGCGTGCCTACCTACAACGTTCCTGGGGCTTACTGAAAGCGTTTGCGTTATCCTGAGTTTATCGTACACAAAAGCACAACAGGTTTGTAGTGGATGGACGTGAAAATTAATAAAAATGTAAGTAGCTTTTTCATTGAAATGTATTCCAGCAAAATATATTTAAAAATATTCGTTAATTATTTTCTCAACTGCTTTTACTTCTAGTTTCTTCAATTTTCCCAATTTTTAACTACAGAAAAACATAGTTGTTTCCAACTTTTCAGGCTTATTCCGTATAGGCCAGTCATTATACCTTTTTTTCGGGAAAAAAATACTATTAGAAGTTTCTCTGCGAAATATTGTTCCGAAACGTGTTATAAACAAAATATCAAAAAATCAACTCGGGACTAGTTGGGAAACTTTGTTAAAACAATGGTCAAAATTATGGAAAAGTGGTTTTTTGACTCGCGTAAAAAAACTGTTATTCATAGAGAAAAAAGGTTTATACAACAAAGGTAGGTAAAAGATAAATATGTAAAATAAAACAAGTCCGATTAAATTCGGGTAATTTATTTATGCGCAAGAGCTCAAAAATGGTCGAAAATGTCCGCTTTTTTCAATTGCTAATAATTAGTGCAATTTTCATCGTAGACACTTGTAATTCAGGATTTTTTAGGCTTTTTACATCCTTAATAAGTGATAAAAATTTCAGCTCGAAAGCTTCATTGGTTTGGCGTTGGCGGAATTTGTTATCTAAGAAGATGCTATTTTCAATTCATTTTTCCCAAGCTCACAGGCGTTGTAGGGTTTTGATCATTAGTTGTTTTTGTACCTAAATAGTTGTATTGACATAGGCATTTACTGATAATTTAGTTTTTCAAATTTAATTTGTTTAAAA